AAGCTAGGGGCTGCTTTTCTTTAACATTTGTGTCTAACAGCTACTAAATTAAAAAGTGAAATATTAACTTAGCCACATCCTTCAGCATGGCCATGACCCACAGAATCAGTAAGACAACTGCATCATTGTACACAATTTAAAAAAAAACCCACATAAATAATGGAATTTTTGTGCAAAACTTTTAAAATTTTTATTCTCTGATTCCTCTTCAGACCATTATGGTGTTATTGACTACTATTATCTGAAATAGCATAAAGATGTAAACACTTATTTGTTCACAGCTTTATATATAACATCTCGGAGAAGGCTGTTAGGTTTGTGACATTAAAAACTGAAACCAGGTAAGAACAAAAAGAGCAAAACCAGAAGAAAACTATAGTGAATTACAGTATGAAATCTATTTACACACATTAATCTATACAACATCATAATCTGTACATTTTGTAAAAAATAATCACATTCATTTACATCATCTTAAATTTTTACCATACATGACAGATATAAAGTTATAACAAAGATGACAAAAGAGAAATTTGAAGTAATACTCATACATATTTTGTGCCAGGACAAAAAAAGCTGCAGGTAATCACAAACTTATTACAGTGCTTTGGGACATAGAGGGGTTTGGGACATTTCAGTCACCTTTTAAATCTGACAATAGAAATGTTCCTGAATTAGATTTAACTACAACCTGCTATCCTTGGGCAGAACCAGATTCAACAGAGTGGTAAAACCATATCACAGAATGCTCCTTTTAAATGTTATCCTGATGTACTCTTGTAACATACATCTTCAAACACTTTTTAATTTTAGTATTTCTTCAGCAACAGAATAGCACTGCATCCTAACTTCTGTATTTGGTCATGCCAGGGTAGCACTGACAGCCCACAGCTGATAGAGGCACTCATGGTTACACGAAGGTACTTCTGTTGGCAAAGGTATTTCCTAATTACTAAGTACAGACAGCAATTGTTCAGATGATGACCCTTACACACATAGCAGCAGACACACAGTCTGCAGGTTACTTGCCAGTTCTTTCTTTTTGTCAGACATATTTAGGACTTGATTTCTCCTTAAGGATGTCTGAAAAAAATCTGAATAGACTGAATTTGGACTTTATCCCAAATCACTTTGCTGAAATGGGTAAATTCACAGTTAACAGAAGATGATTTTTAGAAAAATAGAGGACAAATAATGCAGATTATTCATCTTAGTCTTTGCCCATGGACTGTGTGACAGATGCACCTGGGAATGCCTTATTTCATCAATCTGCCCCAGTCAGTCTCTGGTTTGTTGAGGGTCTGTGCTGGTTGCTTTCCCCTCTGGCATGTTAAAAGCAAAGGGAAGCCTACAGTGAATCAGGACACGAAGCAGATGCTACAGAGTGGGGTAGGATGGCTCCAACTTGACTGAAGAAGGTTTTTTGTAATGCTATTTGCCACCAATTTCTATTGCTGCTACAGTACACTCCATCACAATCTTAGATAGGGTATTCTTCTGCTGGCTACCTGAAGTACAATATAAAGAAATTTTGGGTACTGTAAAGCACTTTCTTTTAGCATATGGCCCCTTCTTCAAAAAGCAAAACCAAACACCTTACCCAAAAAACCAAACATTTGTTGGAAGCTGAGGCCAGGCAAATCACAATGGGACACAAGCCTGTGAGCTTTATCATGGCAGGCAGGGACACCAATGGCAGAAGCCAATGAACTGGGGGATCCTCCTCTGCCTGACCTTTTGAATTACACTGCACATTCCTTGGAGGATAACTTTGGCCAACCCAAGGTAATTGGCTTAAAGAGGAGTATCTGTGTAATATTACCCAGACAGTTTAATGATCTCTTCTGGAGGGATACATCTTACCTGATTCTATCTCTGGAGTGAGAAATGTAAGTACTGGCCAGCTACCCCAGCTCATTTTATAGTAAGTCAGAGAAAACTGGGTCCAGCTTACCTGCCTCAGATGCTCAGCTGAACATGGAAGGAGCCATCTTCAAATAATGCCTATTTCTCTGTGATGACTGTGGAAGGCACCTTAAAAGTGTCTGGAAGGCACCTTAAAAGTGTCTTTAACTCAGAGACAAACATGCAGCTTTTAGACATCAAAACCACGGCAGATGAATTTCACCTTAGTTTATCAAGCACCCAGCTGAAATTGGCTCTGCAGAGGAAAATTTAAGTCAGTGTCCATATATGTATTTTTTAATTGCGTTAAAAGTGGAGAGCAAGCTGTCACTGTGTTCCTCAGGCATTAGCAGCAGGTAATGCTGACAGAAATCACTCAGAATTAATGGTGCCTCCAGGGGAGGTAAAGCACAACAATTAACCAAGGTCCTGGGAGTGAACCATATTACCATTCTTGTTCAGTAAGGACAAGCTGTGCTTCTGGCTTTTCCATGGGGATGGACAAAAAACCCCAGGTTTCCTGCCTTGAATACTTTACAACTCAGTTTGCACTCTGAAGCAACCAAAGGGGAAAGGCAGTAAAGGAATAAAGAAAGGGGAAGGTTACACTTCTCTTGCAGCCTCTACTTCCTCCCCTGCTGCTGCTGGGACTGAGTGAGAATTAGGATTAGGGATGACAGAAGGCCAAATTATTTCATTGCGTTGTTCTTCTGACTCTTTAGAGTCACCACAGCCCAGAGCAAGAGCATTTAATCCCACGCTTCTCAGCAAAATGCAATGAGAGACAAAACCACGAGAAGCTGTCTTGTTATAAGTGTTGTAAAGATGAAAAACCCTGATCAAACACTTCCAGATTTGTCAAACTGTTTTGCACCATTTACTGACATTTTTATATCTGTCCATGAAAAGGCAGCTGCCAAACTGGTGATGATAGGGTTAACACTGTAACTTTGCATAAAATTATTTGGAAATCAGAAATTTTCTGGGCGTAAAAGCAAGTGAGTACAGTTCCCTCTGTGTCTTAACTGCCATGATAATGCCTGAACAAAGCATTATGAAGTTAAACTGTCTCACAAAAAATATTTAGATTATCTGCATTTATATTATTAATAGAGGGATGAGGTTCTCCAAAGTACTGTACTTTTCACTGGTTTGAATCAAAAATATATACAGCACTTCTCTATCCTGTGTGCCACTCTTTGCATGTCCACATTGTCCTTTACAAACTTAGTGGTGCCTCTTTGTTCTTCCACCGCAAAATTCTCCTGTGGCATTTCACCCTACATGGAAAATAGAATCAAGCCCAAATGCATCTGCACCTCGTAAAAGGAAACAATGCTGGTTTGTTGGAGCATAAAATGTATTTTCTTATTAAGGCTTTTCTTTTTTTTATAACCCAGAAATAATTAAAATGCAGATCTTTTTTCATGCTCACCTAATTAGAACAAAGGCAGTTTTCTCTAAGATACAATGTGTTATAAACACATATAATTGGTGATGCATCATGCAGAACAGACTGATGGAAATGATTGCCTGAAACATCCATTTCTGTGCTATCATTCTGTCTGTGTGTCAACTCGCTCACATAACCTCATTTGAGCACAAAGATGAGCACACTTGAATGCCTGTCACATGGGCCTTTCTACCCCAGAAAATGAGGGGAAAAAAGAACATCCTGCACATCTCATCTCAGGGAACTGAAAAGTCCCAACGCCACTGCAGACAAAGAACCCTAATGTGCACAGACGCGTTTAATTTAGGTGTAAAAGCAGCTCCCACTGCTCCAGTGGGTCTTCATATATTTGCAGTTAAGAGCTTGTGATAAGTTTCTCAAGAGATCCAGGAAACATACTAAATTTCAGCTGTGTTTCCTCAGTCTAAAGTCTTTGGGAATATATTGAGTTTAAATAGATGTGTGGGGGAGCACCTTTAGACCCCATGGGAATGTTTTTGGGGCCCCTACTTTTGTCCTGAATCTCATAGTTACTCTGCCAAACAGAAAGCATTATGAATGATCTGAAAGTGATCAATAGCTCCTCTAAATTCACCTTTTGTAAGTAACAATTCTGTGAGTGATTGTTGTTGAACTCAAATGATACCTGCTGGCGTCATGTAACATTCACCAGGTTCTGCAGTAGCTATGTGATCCATGGGGCCCTTTCTATCTTTGGTCTGACAAAACTTTGTGTGACTCCATGGCAATCCCATTAAAACAAATTGTGTTTGACTGATAAATAGCTGGATTAAATCAGACCAAGAACTGAAATGCACTGAGACAGCTGCTGACAATATTCCCAGTACTGGTAATGCTTTCAAGGATGTACAGATATGCCTGCCAAAGGATGCCCTTGCTGCTGTTCTTCCCTTTATCTGACAAGAGCAGGGACCTTGGATCCTGCTGGCTCCATAAAACCTGTTATCTGAAATATGAGGGCAATGGTTTGTGTGGAGGTACTCATGCAAATACAGATTATTCCTACTTGAAATGTAGGGTGGACATGGTTAAACGTTGGCATGGGAAGAGAACATCACTGGTTTATTTCTTTTAAAGAGAGGAAATGTTATGTATGTTTTCATAAGACTCTCAGCTCTCTGCTTTTTTTTTTTTTAAACATGGCTACATAAGAGGCTTGGCATTGTTGAAAATTCCTTCTTTATGCCTTTTATGGTAATTTTTAGGGATTCTGTCTAATTTTTTTTTTTTTCCAGAGTCATGGTCAGGACTAAATTTTAAATAATTTCAGATAGATATAGAACTGAATAAACCTAAAAGAATTTACATTTTTTGTTAAATGTGAATTGTAACTTCAGTGCAATATTCCTTGTGTTTTGCAGCCAAATATGTAGCTCCTAGAGGCAGAGTTCAATGACAACACTGTAAAAAATTATATTTTCAATGTGAAATGAGATATCCAAGGCTGTTTTATCTATGCCAGGCTGCTTTAGCAATAAAACATACCTCTTCAGAAAACTGCTCCATGAAGGATCAACACAAATCTCTGACTTTAAACAGAAGATAACTGAGAACTGAGAATATTCAGAAGTAATATAGTAGTTTTTTCTGTATGGCCTGTAAAGGTAGCCCCACAAACACCAAACCAGGCACTTTTGAAAGTAACAACAGGACTGGAATCAAACTCTGTAGAAAGTAACCTCTGAAATGTGTACCATTAGCCTAGAAGTACTACCTTTTCCCTTCTCTTGTAAATCATGTTAATGATTTCCTGGATTAGCACACTGAACTCCCAGTGTGGTTAATTACGGTCTTAGATTTTTTTTCTTAATTTTATTTTCCATAATTAGAAAAGAATTTCCTAATCCTTAAGGCAATGTTTCCTTAAGTATAAATAAAATGTAAGAAATTTTCTTGCTTCCCATCTTAACCCTTACATGTGCCAAAGAAATCTGCATTGAGCAGGTTACCCTGCATGGATCTTGTAGCCACTTTGGAAGGTAAAGGGACCTTTATGGAAAATGAATTTTTGAATTGTTACAGCTAGTAAACTGCAAGAGAACATAAGAATTAATATGAATACTATTTGAACAAAACAGACAGCATCCATCGGGCAGGATTCTCCATTAATAACAGGCTGGCTGCACAAACCAATTCCCCAAATACCAACATGTAGAAAAGCAAAGCACTAAACTGTACATGTTATAAAATATCACATCAAGCTGCATAATGAATGATATATCCCACAGTTTTTCATGTTTTGGGGGACTTAGCTCATTTATATCATGGTGGTCTCAGTCTGCATGAATGAGTGAGCTCTTGAATTCCTGTGGAGCTGGGAAACACTTTCTGATCCATTTCGGGAAATGGACGAGTGCAGTCTGTAGTCTCTGCCTGCAGTCTGCTTCCAGCACAAGCTCCTCCACTTTCTTTTCAGCTCCCCCTGCACCTGTGCTCAAAAGAAAATGCACAATATGAGCTGAAAATTTTCTTTTATGTGAGGAAGTTTTCCATGTCTGTTGGCTGTCACATGGGGATCTCTAGGAACAGAATCATAGAATGGTTTGGTACAAACTTTTAAAGATTCCCGAGTTCCACCCCCTTCCATGGGCAGGGACACCTTCCACCAGACCAGGTTGCTCAGAGCACCATCCAGCCTGGCCTTGGGATGGGGCTACCACAGCTTCTCTGGGCAGCCTGTTACAGGGCCTCCACCACCCTTAAAGAAAAGATTTTTCCTTCCTTTAAACTTTCCAGTTTAAAAATGTCCTGACACTACAGGCCCTGCTAAGAAATTTTTTGCCATCTTCCTTATAATCTCCCCTTTATGTACTCCAAGGTGCTAAAAAGTCCCCCCCCTCATTCTCCTTTCCTGGCTGAGCAACCCCTACTCTCTCAGCCTGTTTTCACAGGTGTTCCAGGTGTTTGTTTATAGTGGCCAGAGGTGTTCCAGCCTTCTGATAATTTTTGTGGCCTCCTCTGGACCTGGTCTAACACATCCATGTCTTTCTTGTACTGGTGACAATTCACCTCTCTTGACCTTTAATGCTGAACAGAGGTGGCTTTTTGGGCTACAAGTGCACATTGCCAGCTCATGGTCCATCCTTCACCCCCAAGTCCATCATGTTGGATGGCTCTCAACTCCTTCATCCCACAGTCAGCCCTGCACAGACCCAGATGCAGGACCTTGAACTCGGCACTGCTGAACCTCTCAAGGTTCTTTCCCCCTCTCACAAGCCTGTCATGGTCCCTCTGGATGGCATCCCTTCCCTCTACAGTATCCTTTTACAAAGGTCACATAACTGAGGCAAAGACTGCCTGCACTGTGTGTGAAGAGGTGCCCTAAGGTCACATTCAAAAATCAATTTTGTATCGCTTGTGCTGCAACATTAGGTTTTGGTATCGAGCTATTTATCTCATGTACTTGAGGCATAGGATCAAATGATTAGCCCAAAATCAGGCATCTCATGAATATCAAAGACCAGAACAGCACTCAGGAGAGCTAAATGTTAATTGTCTGCGCAGGTGTCTTCTTCAGACAGATTCCTCCTGTCAGACACTGCATAGGAGCTGAAATCAAAAGGAATTCTTTGCATCTTTCTCAGTTGAGACCATGAAAACCATGATGTGCTGAGCACTTCTGAAAATCTGTGCTGTTCTGAAGTTTAGATACTGACAGAACATTACCCCTAAATATTTACTAAATGATATTTCCAGTTCCAGATGGATTTTCAGACGTGTTGCACCTCACTTGCACATTGCTTCTAACAGAGCTACATCAGATCACATCAGGAGAAGACACTAACACCTCAGTTTGCAAGGAATTCAATTCTAAACAGCTCTTAAAGCTCTTCCCCCAGCTACACTCATTTTTCCTGTTGTATAAAAACTGTCCCAAATATATTCCACTAATAGGAATGCAGATACCTTCTAAAACAGTTTTGTGCATCAGAGCAGAATTATGGGGGCACTCATACATTTACTAAAACCAATATTTCACATTCTCAGTAGGAAAGATGAGACTTACTTCACTGTTCAAAAAACAATACAGGACTGCAACAATCAACCCCTGGAAAGAGATAATATTCCTTAGTTAGTAGGCAGCACTCGCCTAGGTCAGTAAAACTTCTTTTGATTAAAAACTTTAAAATTTACCTGAAAAGATCCCAAACACAACTCAAAGATTATTTTATAATTGTTGGAGCTGCGGTCAGGAAACAGAGCAAACACTGTGTAGTGAACTCCAAATAAAGGAATCAGCAGCAAGGTGGACTTTGCAAGTCTCCTGGGTAAAGGAAAGAGACAAAGCTACAATTTAATGATGAGCTCTTGTTCTAGTGAGATGAATGTGTAACGGTAGGGTTAGTCTGTACATTGCTCATGCACACTATGCAAACAGCACCTGGGAAATGTCATCCAGAATCATCCCAACTAAGAGATTTTCATGAGCCTCAAACACTAAAACTTCATAGCTTTACTGATGGTGTTAAGCACACAAAATTAAATAATTTTCAATGTTGTCAATTACATAAAAAGACTTAGCAGAAGACACTACTTACTGAAGTTAAGGAAACAGAACTTTACTAAGGAGAACTGCTCTGACAAACAGCTCATGAAACTACTGGAATGATAAATTGCTACTTTTACCTTATCTGTCATTTATTTCAATCTAATAACATCAGTTCTATATAATATACAGGGCCAGTCATGGACAATTTTGGATGTCTGGCATCAGATAAAATCTGAGAAATTATAATGTTGAGTTCCATAATTCATCACTGTATTGATGAATATAGCTTGATTCAACAATGAAAGGATCCTGTTGTGAATTCACCTATTTTAACAGAAAAGTTACGGTATTTCAGTATTTCAACTAGTTTTATTTTTTCTGTGTCAGTCTTCATGGCCTTGCTTTGTTTATAATGGCCCAGGGGCTGCATCTATTTGTGTGGAAATAATTTCTGACAGCAAAGCTTCTCAAAAATAGCAAATCCCTCACATCTAAAGATGATACCAGACACAGGAAAAATAGGGATTCCTTAGCAGAAGAAATTCATTTACAACTGGAGGGGATGACACTGGCAGCAAATTTCCTGGTTTCTCAAAGGAAATGGAAAACTGATTTTATTTGGACTTAGCCTTGTCCACTGCAAGAGCAAAATAAACAACTAAAAGGGTGGAACCAGCTACAAGCAGGTTCAGAGGAAGAAATAAAAATGGTGACTAGCATGAGTAGTATTAATTTTAGATTCATATTTCACTTTCACTCCATGCTTGGCTCAGTAATTTTTGTTTAGTTGATGCTACTTCCTCTATACTGCACTTACATTTCGGTAAAAGAAAGGGACATAAAAACCATCCTTATTCTTCTCTGCATTTTAAAAAATGCATTTGTAATTTTATAAAAGAGCCTCCCAGATCTTTTAATTTTCTCTGCAGATGCAGTTTCTTGAGGAGGTTAATCTACTTTCCCATGGGTATCAGCTAAAGACCAGAAATGCAAACCTAATCAGGCAATCAAATGCTAAAAGCAAAGAATTTACGGGGCTGAATTATGAAGGACAAAGTTGATAATAATGTGAATATTTCACATTATAAAGTGCTACAGTAAACTGTGGGAAATGGACTGAAAGTAAGGGAATGCCTAATCTTCAAAAATTAAATAAATATCACATGGAAGCAATGAAAACTTTATGTCACAAGAAGTAAACTTGAGGGGATTTCCTGCCCCATTGGTTGGCCATTGTGCTACATCATAATGTGGCACTGCACAGTTCCATCTAGATTCAACAAGCTCTCCTACATGTTTAGATAATTGAATCAGCGAATACAAAACAAGACCCCTTTAGCTCTGCAAAACAAACATGCTTGTCAGTGCAGTTGTGTTGACTTTTCTGGGGCACATCAGAATTTTTCACTTTTTGCATCAAACATCACATTGTCTACAAAACACATAAGGTCCTGCTTCTCTTGGCTTTAAGGATATTCTTTGTTTTTGCATAGCATGTTTTGTCAGCTATCAGAACAGGAATTCAGTATTTCTTAAATGAAGGGAAGGTGTTATCCAGGAGCACAGTGTCAAAGGCCACTCATATGGCTTTGGATTTTCAATGTTTGTGTGAGGTTTTGTCACTGAAGAATCATATTGACACCTTGAACTCTCAGAGTCTGTGTCCAGGCTTTAAAATAGACCTATTACAACAGACTTGACTGAATATTATTATTATCCAGCAGTTCTTATAATAAACAACAATAACAACAGATATGGCAATAGAGAACAATTTTAGCAATGCATTTGAAATGTCCCCCAATATCCCTTGATTTTAAAGCTGTGGAAACAAGAGATATTTTAGGATTTGATGTTCACACCAAAACACAAAAGAAGAAGGTCTGAACAGAAATCAAGTTGTTCTAAGCCAGAAACAACTGTTGTCCTCTAAAAAAGTACAGATGCTATTTTAAATCAGTATAAAATACTCTATTTAATTTTTACATTTTTGGTAAAAATAAAAATTTCAGCTCTCAAAATATATGTAAGCATTTTAGAAATTAAAAAAAATGTTTTAAGGAGGTTGAAGGAAAATAATTTTAAAGGATTTTAAACATTTCTTATATCAAAATTAAATGTTTATATGTCAAAAGGAAAATGTTACTTTCCATATATTTTGTATCAGCATACTTATTCATGGATTAAACTCAAATTCAAAATAACTTGTTGGTCTTTCTAAAATGAAGTATTTTTTATTGAATTAAGCATTTGATAAAAATATATTTATCTCCATTTCAGTATAATTGTATTTATTAAACAGTATCTAAAAGTAGTTCTAAATTAAATATAATCACACTAAGACAGCAGTTTTTGATTTTCAGCAGATGAAAACTTAAAGAGATTATTTTGCTTCTGTCTGTAATATCTAAAAATATGACTCACTTGTACTGTGACTGGTCATTTCCTCCAACATCTGGAGATCTTAACTTCTGCAGTAAGATTCTTATAATGCTAATGAAAAGTATAAAATTCACCTGGAAAGAAAAAAACAAATATAATGGTGATTTCTGAACCCTCCACTCAATCTGCAGCAAAAACAAATTCTTATCAGGTCAGACAGGAGCCAAGTCAGTGTGGGAGTCGTGCACCTCCCTCCAGAGCCCCTGAGTGCCAAACCTCTCGTGTTCTGCAGCGCCTCTTTTGCCATGTCCAGCAAACACTGCAAGCCCAGCACTGCTGCTCTGGCTGGCAAAAGTCTTTGAAAGACCCAATTTTCAGAAGTGTCCTCCTTCCACTACTTCAGCTGAGGACAGGTTTCCCAGCAGGATGGGACCCTGGGTGTGGTTTCCTGCAATCAAGCACTGTCCTAAATTGTCACATTGCTAATTGTCCTAAATTGTCACATGGATTCACCACCGGAAGCCCAAAGGCAGTTTTGATCCTCCCTTGCTCCTCACCCCAACTTTCAGTGTTTTCTGTCTGAATTAGGGTTAGAGAAGATTGCTGCACAGCTGATCTGTCTACTCCAACTAAGCACAAAAAGGGCTTCTCACAGGTATTTGACTGTTTTGGATATTGATGCTGACATTACAAATGAAGGAATCACAGAACAGCTGGGGTTGGAAGGGACCTCTGGAGATCATCCAGTCCATCTGAATCCCTGCAGCCTAATTCTCATGACAGCCCTCTAAGACAGAAGAGTAGCATTTCATTTTGTATTTTATTTCATATTTTAGTTTTCAGAAAGGCACTTGCATAAAAATCATTATGATCAGAACCTAATCAGTCTAGAAAATTGAAGTATAAAACTCAGTATATCCTAAGTCTCACTCCCATTATTTATTCAGCCCTGACTTTCAGCTTCCTCTGGTCACCATCCCTTCTGGTGTTGGATTCTTTGGTGTGGTCTAGAAAACTGCACCCTAAATATATCATGTCCACGCTGAAGTAAGGGAACAGTTGGAATCCACACCTTCAGAGCTACAATGTGTGCTAAAAACTGCAAATCCAGCTACATAAACAGCTGCATCAAATGCACACATCTTAGAATAAATTAATCTAGAGAAAAATTTGTATCACAGTGAAAATGAGAATTTTATTGTTTTAAACTCCATCCCAAAGCACAAAATCAGGAGGTGGGGTACATAACCAAGCAGTGCCTGTCTCACTGCTATAAATCTCTGTCTTCATGTATTGATGGAACCCTTCTTTCTCCTAAAAATTTGGCTCCAAGCTTTTAAAGTTCAATGAATTTCTGTGCCTTCTATAACACAGCCTATAGAATTTGGGATACTGATAAATAAAACACAGTCATGACAACTGCATGTCCCTCTGTTTTTAACATTTTGTTTGAAATGACAGGTGAAGGGTAGTGAAAGGAACTGACAAGGATGAAATAAAAATTCAGGAAAAGTACCTCTAATATATTTTTTAAAAAGAAATGTTAGAAAAGATAGGATTTTGCTGAACTTAACATACTTATTTTTGCAGGCAGATGATTACTTAGAGGCTTACCTATAAAGGTAACAGACAGAAATCTGTTATTGCAGATTTTATCCGCAGACTTAATGCAGCTGAGTGCCCACAGCAGGGGATATTAACTTGTCATACACACTGGGGCCAGTATTAGTGGAGAAAGAGAGAATAGGGGTAACAGCACATTCACTTGGAACAGCCACATCCAACTGAGTAACTCTGAAGTGTGTACAGCATGAAATGTGAACCTCCGCCAAATGACTTCTCTCAAGCCAGAATTCCCAGGAGGAAATGCCAGGGAAGTTTCTGACACACTGAATTAACTGAAGCCATTCCTACTGTGCAAAATGGTATCAGAACTTGCTCTCACAATGCTGTTGGATAGATCAAACTTTGCTGCCTGACCAGTATTCCACTTGACTTCTCTTCACTACGATCCAGCTCCAGTTCATGTCTGCCAGTGCACTCTGAGATAACTTCCTGGACTTCCCAAACTTCCAGGTCCAGGACTGCTTTGGAGCAGCACTGCCTTCTGGCACATGCAGTCTCAGATAATTGTTCAAACTGAGCATCCAGAGAACAGGGTTTCCTGTAAACACCAGGTGGTTTGTTTTGCTTTTATCTTCCAAAACACATTTTCCTAACTCTGGATTGTTCCCCATTCTCCAACTCCTTTGAGGTCCAAGTATTCCCTTCCTGCTGCAGGTCTCTTTCATGCTCATTTCTTCATAACATAAAACATCTTTGAGGACTTACTTTATTCATTTCACACATATGGCCTACTCTTCTTTCTCTCCAAACTGCAGAATTCACACTGATAATGATGACAGGAATTTTTTCCAAAATGATTTTCAGCAGGCATAGATTGAAAAGCTTAATGCAAACTTCTGAAATCTTGTGTAATCTACTAATTCCCTAGATCTTCTGCTTATAATTTAAAAAATGAATCAAGTATATCTAAAACACATTAATTTTGCTCTCTGACTATTTTCAGAAATGGACATATAACCATAGTATATTATGCCCAAAGTTAATTACACAATAATTACAGGAAGATTATTACACTAGTCCAGTAATTCTAATGAGTTTCAAACAAGAAAAGCCCTGTGAAACAGTCTCAAATGGTATTATTTTGCAAATATTCATGTTCAATATATATTTTAGTAGGCTACCAATTAAAGAAAGATACACACAGCCATAATTTTTTGACTAATATCAGATTCTCAATTGCAAGACTATCTATTTACACACAAAATCAAATCTGCAATTCATTGAGAAGTATAATTAGATTTTTCCTTCCTCAAGGCTCATAAACAGAATAGATGTTAAAGAAAGAACAATACACAAATAAAAGCAACTGCTAATTTAATAGGAGGCAGATAAATTTTGAAGGCAACAAATTTTAATGGCCTTGGCATCTGTTTAACATTTCTCCTGCAGCACAATTTCTTTTCATTAAAACAGAATTCTTGCCTATCTGTAACTAGCAGTAAAGAATAATGGCTACATGCACTGCACAATGCTGAACAGATCTATAATTCATGCTTCAAATTTTACTTACTATAATAGAAATTAAAATTGGTATTCGTATAACCCACCAGGGACCACCATGCTCATTTGTATCCCAGCAGCTATAAAAAAAAGAGGGAAAATCATGTTGACATTAATATCATCTGGCAAGCAAGACCTATGAGAAATATTTCTTATAAACAAGTCAAAGCACCCTAAAATATTGCCTGCTTTAGCCCAGAATCTGGCATTCAATCCCTTCCTGCTATTAATTTTATTCCCTTTGTTTTAATATGCACACTTGATTTCCCCACCAGGAGCACTGTGTTCAGGTGTGGACTCCTCAGCATAAGAAAGATGTGGCTCTGTTAGAGCAGGTCCAGAGGTGATCACCCAAAGGTGATCAGAGGGCTGAGGTACCTCTCCTGCAAAGGCAGGCTGAGAGTTGAGGTTGGTCAGCCTGGAGAATACAAGGTTCCATGGAGAAATAATTGTGACCTTTCAGCACTCAAAGGGGGCTTATAAAAAAAGAGAAAATTACATTTTGCCAGGGCAGGTAGTGATAGGACAAGGGAGAATGGTTTAAAAATGAAAGAGGAGAGATTTAGATGTCAGGAAGAAATTCTTTACTCAGAAAGTTGCAGAATCATTTCGGTTGGAAAAGACCTCTGAGATCATTGAGTCCAAACTTTGACCAAGCACCACTGGACCATGGCATTGAGTGCCACATCCAGCTATTTCCTGAGCACCTCCAAGAAAGCTGACTCCACCACCTCTGTGGGCAGCGCATTCCAATGCTTTACAACCCCTTCAGTGGAGAAATTCTTCCCAATGTCCAAACTGAACCTCTCATGGCACAGCTTGAGGCTGTTTCCTCTTGTCCTGTCACTGGCGGCCTGAGAGAAGAGACCAACCCCCAGCTGGCTACAGCCTCTGTGCAGGCTGCTGTAGGGAGTGACAAGGTCTCCCCTGAGCCTCCTTTTCTTCAGGCTAAACACCCCCAGCTCCCTCAGCTGCTTTTCACCAGACTTGTGCTCCAGACCCTTCCCCAGCTCTGTTGCCCTTCTCTGGACACACTCCAGCACCTCAATGTCGTTCCTGCAGTGAGTCGCCCAGAACTGGACACAGGTCCCAGGGTGTGGCCTCAGAGAAGCTGTGGATGTCCCATCCCTGGAAGTGTTCAAGGCCAGACCAGGTGGGGCTCTGAGTAACCTGAGTGTGGCATCACTGCCCATGGCAAGGAGGGCTGGAAACAACTGGTCTTCAAGGTCCCTCCCAACCCAATCCATTCTATGATTCTATGAAATCTGAAGCCAAAACATCAAGCACACTGGGCTGTACCATTAGACATCATGGAGGGTGTTGACCTTTGTGGGAACCAAGCTCAGTTTCACTTTGTGCAAGGACACTTCTCCAGTGTGCACTTAATGCTGACCTCTGGGTAGCAGGAAGATCTAAAGCAACTGACAGGTGCAACTGGAATTACATAATTTCTTGTGGGGCATGTAGGTTATAGATGCCTGGAACTTGTTTGTGAAAATGTGAGACTGAACCTGAAGTTCTGTCTGAAAAACTGAATATTTAATTTTCACCCTGGGCTCAGTAATTTTGGTCCAAATACTCTTAAGTGCTCTGAAAGGTTAGTCAGATTAGAGATTAATTACCCTTTGGACTTCCTCTGTAATCATAATGACAAAGGAAAAAGGAGTTTGCCTTTGGTTTACACGTTAGACATCTTGCAAAGAAAGCCTTGAAATTATGTAGGATATGATTTTTAAGTCTAATTGCAGAAAAAATTGAAAAATAATAGTTGGACAAAACAGGACTACGCAAACTGGTTTTCCACTAGTTAGGAATGTTCTCCCATTCCTTGGGAGCAGCAGGATCAAGTCTGATTTTCCTACAAAATTCTTGTCTCAGTTCCCCTTCACATGCCAGGAAGCTCCAATTAGCTTTAGCTTTACCTGGCTATGTGCATCTGACACACCCTTACATCACTTCCCTTTTGGGAATGTAATTTGTCTGTACCCCAAGTTATCTACACTTCAATCTCCTGAGTTTCCAGTTAGCAAATGAGCATGGCCAGTGCCTTCCTGCACACGTTGCAGCACTGAGCCCAAGGACTCCGCTGCTTTTTCAAACATTATTTTGACTTCCCAAGCAGATAGCTCCAGATGTGGTGTGCCAAGGAGTAACAGTGGTCATAACTTATCTCTGCTCTCTCCTGTTCTCTGAGTTTTCCAAATAAACATCAAGCACAAAGCACAACTGAAGAGCTCCCAAACACCTGCCCTTTTATTGCCATCTCTGGAATTTCAGTTCTGTGCTCATCCCCTCCAGAGCAGCAAACCACCTTTGTGTGAGTAGCACCACACCCAAGGCAAGGATTGCACAGGCATGGGGGGATTTAAACTTTCTGTCCCACACACACTCACCCAGTGTCCTCTAGAATGATCCGTGTCACTGTCCATGTAATAATGAATATCGTAGGAATTCCTGAAAAATGCCAAAAATGTTTAGAGAATGATCACAAAAATGCAAGTCCACAAAAAAAAAAAAAAAAAAGAAAGAAAGAAAAAGAAAAAAAAGAAAAAAAAGAAAAAAAAGTTCAGCCTGCTAGTAAGCAGCTATTCCCCAAAACACAGAGCATATACTAAACAGCTCAGTGAATGGAAGGAGAGGTCCATCTGATGAGCTACATGATTACGTGTACACATCAGTTATGTATTACAAAGACTGCAGGGAAGTGAGTGTATTTCTCATAGAAATGCAGCCATAATTACTAATACACAAAAAAATGACTTTCTCAGGTTTCTTGCAAGGTGTCAGAGGGACTTACAGGGAAATAGATACAAGTTATGCATTCCCAATGCACCTCCAAGGACCGCAATATAAAATAAAAGTATAAATCATTTCATAAGGAACCTTGTCCACACACTGGTTTATTCCCATTTCCCAGCAACACCCAAATGTTTTATGACCACCTATTACTGGAGGTATTAAAGTGTTCCATATAAATATCATGGCACTTTCTGTAAATGAAAGGAATATATATATTTAAAACCAGATGGACAGTATTATTGGGCTTTTCAAAAAGGAAAATTGCATAGTATAGCTCATGGCTGTGCAGCTAAGCTTTAATTTTCCTCACAAATCAGAACACCTGAATTATATGTTTTGCAGTGGCAGCCCTTGCACCAGAGCAACCCCAGGGTGTGGTGCAGATGGCACAGGTGAAAGCTGACCAACACATACACACAGAGAAAAAGGAACATTACTGGGAGATGAGCAAGTTCTTACCCCATCCTATCAGCAGGTAGATGGTGAAGTGTCTGTTGGGGGAGAATATTAGCACAAGGAGGATGTGGAGGTAAAGTCCTTCTACCAAGAGCCAGTAAAAGTTTGCCATAACACCATACTGAAAAAACACCAGAATTGCCTTGCAGCCCACCTGAAATGTGAGAAGGATCAAATTTGTAAACATGTCACAGGAACGATATACTATAATATTATTTTTATATATATATATAATATGCCATATTATTTTTGTTACTACAGCCAAAAATCTTAGCTGTCTTTGTAGTATCAATAAACCAGGTCCAGTAGAAATTTTTATCTTCAGTCAAGCAAACCGCAACATCTCAAATGTTACTGCATATATTAAAAGAAAGTGAATTATTAAAAATTATTTAGTTGTCTCTCATTGCTAATTCACTCAGAAAGCTTGAAAATTTCATAGGATAAATATAGAAAAATATGGTGCTTATCAATAAATGCACATTTGCAACAGTTGGTTAGTGAATAGCTATAAAATTAAATTATCATCTACTAGGAGTCTAATAAATGTATCAAAACATTACATGGCATCCTAACACAATAAAAATTAACAAAGAAACTACTTCATTATTTTTTTCAAAGCTAAATGCGAAACTGAGTGAAAAATATAACTTTATTTTATTAAGTGCCTATACTTGGAACAAAAAGTTGGTTGGATTTTTAAAAATAATATTTTCCCTTTAGAAAATGTTTTAGAATTTCTTAGTTAACAAAACACACAGACATATATCAAAAATTGTTGCTTATAGTCTGTGTGCTGCTCTTCAGAATGAATTTTCAGATGTCTGTGCTGCTGATGTTCCACAGTGCTGGCTGCTGCTGCTTTGGTACTTCCCAATGAGAATCTGGGATGTGAGAATTGAATATGAAAATGTTCATATGGACTGAGAATGTGCCAAGAAATGTGATGATATGGTGAATGTAACAGACTACACAAACTGGACCAAATAAAATCTCTAGTTTCTACCAGCTTTACTCACTTCTCCATTTTAAATCCCCTTCATACCTGCATTTTTCTGTTAAAATTCCAAGTGCACCAGATACCTAAGCAGGTAACTTACTCATTTTCAATGATTAATTCCTCTCTCTAAGCATAGATGTTTATTAAGAAGTGAGATGCAGTCACCAGCTGCTAAGCCAGAAGGGCACAGACCTCTTCAGGGAGATTTCTTTGTACCCATCAGCCCCCCAGGATGTCCCAGATACCTCAGTGCATCCCAAGTAACATCCATGCCTGTGCACATGGTAATATAGAAAACTAAGAAGGAGTCCAAAGGCTTGAATTCATTTCGCCTGATTTTATCTGCCTACAACCAAAGTCTGAAAGCAAGCTAACTTTGCTAAGACTGATTTTACCTCTGGAGTTTGGGATATCCATTGCAGATCAGCAATGGGCCAGAAAATGTAATATGGATAAAATTAAGCATTTCAAAATGTGTGAAAAGTTGAAATTTTCATGCAAGTTAAAATTTGCTTTTATGCTTAGGACTCCTTAAAATCAGATCAGCAGTGAAAATGTTGTAATCCTTTATAAATCCAATATTCCCTTGTATTACATTCTTAACTTACATACCAGAACCCTGCATCAAAGTATTTTCCCTTCCTCCTGCAGGTAATCCTGTATCAGCTGTAGTTCCCCACGCTGAACAGTGAAGGTATCTATCAGTAAAGTTAGCCAAAATCAATTCTCCATGTAATCCAGAGCCAGGACCTACTTACAGAGTTTATGGACTGTGTGTTTTAGATCTCTGTGAGTGCAGCAGAACTGTGGAACATCACACACACACGGCAGAAGGGGCAAACCCCACGCGCTGTTATGTGTGAGAGGCAGCACCAAGCCAGTGCTTGATAGACAGACCAGCCTTGTCAGGCTGGTGCCAGATTATCCCACATAAAATGCAACAGGAATTAGCCAGCAGTCCACAAAATCTGACATATTTAGATAGGAATCTGACATATTTAAATAGGAAAGTATAGGGCTTTGTAGCCAAGAATAACTGGAGAATAAATTAAATTGCTGAAACCAAGTAGTATTTTGAGAGTCCACTGAACAGTCTTTCAAGGACCTAAGAACTTCTGATCATCCCTGGCAATCTGTTTGCTATCTAATTTGCCTAATTGGGGTCTACTAACTCAGTTCCTGTTTTTCTCCATTAGAAATACTCTAGATTATGAATTCCTATATACAGCTTGGTATTCACTGCTAAGAACTTCATGTTTTGGGACAATATGGCTTCATCAAGACAAAAATATCTTATTCCATTTTTTTTTCTCAAACAAGCTTAAACTGTAGTTTATTAAAATTAGAAGGGATTTTTGACTGAAACAACAAAGCAGCAAATGGGGCATATCATATAGAGGTCAGTTTTTTAACAGCAAGGCTTGAGATTTTTTTAAGCCCTGCTCATGAAAATGCAGTAAACATATTAGCTTGCCAAGAATGCAGATGATAACACTTCTGTCATAGCCCAGAAGTACCGAGGAGTTAATGAAGACAGCTCCTGCAAATATTTAATTTCCTGAGTTATTCCCTCCCTCCACTGATACCTGTCCAATTCCTGGACCCCTGATAAAGCTGCTGGAACACTTCCAGAGCATCTGCCTTTAATCACTCCCAGCTGATGGCACTCCTGTTTGTCTTCAGCCCTCCCAGCTGATTAATGCAGTGGCCATGTTTATTCTGAGCTGTATCTGGTTATAACTTGTCTTGGCTGATGACAAGTTGTCCTTCATGGACACACAAACAATGTTAAGGTCTCCTTCTTGTGCTACAACCTTCTTTATCTGGATATGTCTAACACCCCATTTTCCTAGTCATTATATTCTCTTCAGAATTGTCTGCACTGAAATCTTGGTCCTCCTAAATATTTAAAAGGATCAGGGAGGAAAATTCAGTGACAGAACAGTGTTACACCAGGTAGCAAATGAGGTTTATTACCCATGAGGTTTGATCCTCTGGACAGTGAGCTGTGTTGGAGCTGGAATAAAGAATATCATCCTTGACTAAAACAGAGATTGCTCTTAGAATGAAAGAGAGGAACAGGTTCAGATGGATGTAATTCCGAGTACAATGAAGTTTTCTAAAAAAGAGATTTAAAAAGAAGCATTTTAGTTTATGAAGCAGAAACTGTTGAACAGACTTCTATTACTCTTGTGGACATTTCTTAGCAATATGAACCTTGAGTAAGAGCATACCCTTTCCTTTTCTGTCATTTTGTCAGTGCTGCCTTGCTGTTTTCTTTCATCTCTTGTTTCTGTTCAGTATCACAGATTAAAAGATCCCAGTGGTATTTCTCTTACATTTGAACACCACTTAATAAACAGACATAATAAGCTGACAATAAACACATTGTATCCTTCTGTGTGTGCACTCATTCCAGTGTTTTTCTTGCAAATACAACTTTGATTATCCTGGATGTGCTCTCACCTATTATTTTCTGGTTTAATTATGTTATTTAACTCCTGTATTTTGCTACAGAGTGACTTTTGATCCTATGGTGATGGTGTATGCAGGAGCAATTAAAAATGCATTCAGAACATTTGATCACCCATCCTTTCTATCCAATGAATGCAAAACTTCTTTAGTCTGGTAGCCATGTGAAAGCCTTACAAACAAATGACAGATAAAAGATTCCATGTAAGTGAATGAGTACTCAGGGGAAGCGAGCTATAAATTGAGGGCTTTTCCCTTAAAATACAGTCCCTTCAAGATTTTCCTGTTTAAAATACTCTTTTTATAGAAGATCTCTAGAAACCAAACTGCTAAGAGGTATTTGTGGTCACAATGAGCACCTTGAGCTGCGCCTGGAAATAGACCAAAAGCCAAGGCATTTCAGCAAGCATGAGCAGTGAAAACATGAAAATGCAATAGGTGTAATGGCAGTGTGCAGTGGCAACTTACAGGTATTCTTCCAGTTGTGATTTTTATCAAATATAATAAACCATTCTGAAATTACTGAAGCAAGGATAGTTACAATGAGTGCAAGGAAATAAAGAACAGATCTGCCATGCTAGCCCTGAATTTAGCAAAGGACATAATACCAGGGTGAATTTTAAACAGTTGTGAAAAAATGCAGTGATTGCTGAGGCCTTGCACATCCTTTGCTGAAATACCACTATTATGTTGGACTGCATCACGTGTTCCTGTGGAATTCAGAGATACATGCAAGCTGCAAATAGGAGGAAACTATTTCTCTTGAATAACTCATGTAGATGATTAGTTATTCATCCCATTCAGTAGCTCAAAAAATAAATGTTGGATATATACAAGGCTGTCAAACCAGAAATTAATTCTTAATTCGACTCTCTGTGTTGGGAGGCCCCAATAGTCCCTGCAAATAACAGAGAAATATTCTTCTTGAACGGGGTTTAGAAGAACATATGTTGCCTCATGAAAAAAAGTCTGGTTTTCCCTGACTCAACTGGAAGACTGGGAAAAAATAACTCTAGTTGGATATCTAAATTGACATTGAAGGTTTTGAGTACACCTCTTAAATGCTTGATTTGTTACACCTGACTTCTGGTGATGGGTGACATTCAGATGTCTCTAATTCTTTGTATTAAATGTGGTTTTAGCTTTTAGCAGTTTTGAAACTGCAGTAATCTGCATTGGGATCTGCCTGGATAGCCATGACTGGCTCAATTATTTTTTAAAAGGTATTCCAAACATAATTATGGGTTATGTATCTGCTCTGATTGGACTCTGAAGATTTAGATTTTCAGGAAATTTGATGGCAGACTGAAAGGCTTACAGAACTCACCACAGGAATATTTCATGAGAGGAATGAGGCTCTAAAAACAACATGCTGTTATTACGTATTATTTGTACTTCCTTTCTACCAAAAAGAATGTGAGATGCACTTTCTTGGTTTTCTTGGTCCTAAGTGGAGCAGAAAAGCTGTGTGAAGTTCATAATGGAGAATATAAAGGCTATTCTGTTAGACAGGTGGAAGTGATACATAAAGGCCTGAAGGTGGAGGGACTCAGAAGAACTGCAATACTGATAAGACCAGTAAAAAGTTATTTTACTAGTTGAAGATTTAAAAGTTATTTTACTAGTTGAAGATTGCCATCAGTCTGAGAAAAGTCACAGAAATCAGGCAAAAGCAGCAGGCAGTTCTGCCTTTCCTAACACTGCCTAACAAAACCATTGCAGACCCAGCACAATTATCCACACCTTTACTACTGTGCTTGGAACTGGTGAGGCTTGTAGCTTGAGCACCATGTTCAGTTCTGGGTCCCTCATTTCAAAAAGGACATTTTTGGGGTGCTAGAGGGTGTCCAGACAAGGGCAATGAAGCTGATGGCAGGTCTAGCAAACGTCTTGTGCAGAGCAGGTGAGGGAAGTGGGGTTGGTTTGTCTGGAGAAGAGGAGGCTCAGGGGAGCCCTCATCACTCCCTACAACCACCTGAAAGGAGGGTGCAGCCAGGTGGGGGCTGGTGCCTTCAGCCATGATTCAAGCGAAAGGATGAGAGGAAATGGCCTTTAGTTGCATCAGGGGAGGTTCAGATTAGGTATTAGGCAAAAAATTTTCACTGAAAGAGTGTTCAAACATTGGAATGAGCTGCCCAGGGAGGTAGTGGAGTGAACTGTATTTGGAATTGTTCAAAAGGTGTTTGGACACAACACCTGGGGATATGGTTTATGGCAGTGCTGGATTGATGGCAAGAGTACATGATCTTGAAGGTCTCTTTCAACCTTGGTGATTTGGTGATTCTGTGATTTACAGTTGGACAAACTAGTGATTGCCTTTGCTTACAGTACCCCTGGAAACCACTCAGAAGCTCTGCAAAATGTGGCTGTACTCCTGTATTGTAAATGCTGGGAAATGGCCTGACGAAGGCAGGAATGATGAATCTGACTCCATGTTCTCAGAAGGCTAATTTATTACTTTATAATACCATACTAGTTTAAAAATACTATACTATACTAAAGAATACAGAAAGAATACTTACTAAATGCTAAAAAGATAATAATGAAAACATGTGACTCTTTCCAGAGTCTCGACACAGCTTGGCCCCAACTGGCCAGAGAGTAAAAATAACTCACACTAGAATGCAATGAAACAATCACCTGTGAGTAAACAATCTCCAAACGCATTCCACAAGAGCAAAACAGAGGAGAAGCAAATGAGATAAGAATTGTTTTCTTTTTCTCTGAGGTTTCTTAGCTTCCCAGGAGAAAAATCCTGGGCAAAGTGATTTTGTTGGAGAATGTGAATGCCACACTCCTGTCCAGTGGTGAGATCAGTATACAACTAATTCTCAAGAGCAATTCAAGGTGTTGATTTTGATAACCAAATAGAAAATGCTTTATGTAATCACTCCTAAATTATTGTTCTTTCTTAAGGGGTTGTAATGCCTGTAAATTTGCAAAATGCTTTGAAAATTGTTAAAATGATCATTGCTAGTAAAAATCTAGTCAGCATTACATTACTGTCAGCTGTTTAACTGCAAAAAGTGTAAACTCAATGCATTTTCTAAATAATTGAGCAATCAGACAGCAGTTAAAGATGTCTTATCATTGTTAATATTTACTCATGAAAAACACATACCTGAAAAGACAAAGAATTATACTTCCTGTTGTAAGAGCAATCAGAGATACGCTGTGTCCAAGGGTATAAATTGCTTTCACCCTCACATAGAAGTTGACCTGTACAGAAAAATATATATGCAGGAACTACTTACTGATACATCAAATTGTCTGTGAAATTATGTAATTGTCCATTAAATAACTCTGAAAGCTATAGCATGATTTTAATTCTTTGCTCTACAGTACATGATGAGAATGTTATATCTCTACTCCAACACATTTTGCAAGGCAATATCTCAAGACAATCGACTTCAGTAGAAATTTCAGCCTCAGAAACTCAGAACATAGACACATAGTCTGGTACCATTCCAGTTGATTATACCATGGCAATGAGGTCAAATAAAGTATCAGATTCATCAATTTCCATGAACACAATCAAACCGGTAAAAGCAAGTCAGTTTGAAAGAGTGGATTATCTCTAAAAGAGAAAATTTTCCTCATTCCTTCTGCTCTAGAGTACTTTGTAATGCAGTTCTACATGAATTTAATTTTAAAGACATGTTAAAGTCTCATTAATTTCTCATTCTAAATTTTCAAATACTTTATTAAATGGTGACACAAACCCTTTCTTTACTAAAGTTACTTGCTAAAACTTGGATAGGAAGTTTTTCAACACAGGAAAAACAGGCTGAAATGCAGTCTGCTGATTAACTGCATACATCTGTAAACTCACCAACTACACACTACAGGAAGTCCTATTCTGAATAACACCATCAAGAAAAATAGGGCTAAATATTTTCAGAATTAAACTCCTTCTCCATTTATGCCTACAGCAAAGTCATTAGACTGACATTAGTTTCCACTCAAGTGAAATAAAATATTAAAACAGTGAAGTTTTTAAAACTACATTATGAAATTAAAGATTTTAAAAGCAATATAGAACATGCTACATATAAGAGACAGAATTTCAATATTTAGTGCACATGGTCACCATTTGCCTTCCCCGATGAGGCTGGTAAAAAGTAGCAAGGAAGCAACACTTGTAAGTAAATTAACATAGTCGAACGAATCTCAAATTACTTTAGTATATTTATTTTTATAGCACTCAAAAGGCCAAGTAAGGAGGTAATTTTAGTAATCCAAATTAATGATGAAATTATCTGAACAATCCCTTTGTAAACATTATACAGATATGGAAAAGGCAAAATAAAATGTGAAATGAATGAAGACTCTTGCAACTTCTCCGTTGTAGATATGGTGAAAGTCGAAAACTATGGGAAGCAACTGCCGTGGATCTTAAGTGCATTCATAGCAACTGCTATGTTACGTATTTCAACCATTAGATTGTACAATAAGAGAGTCTCTTGTATTTTGGTATAAAGAAAGTAGCTGTTCAAACTGCATTAGGATGATTGAGACATGCCCAACGAGAAAGCTGCACTGGTTTAAATTTTTCATAATTCCACACCATTTTGAAAATTCTGTCTAGATTTGATTTCAGGAAAACTCCACTGACTGAGATACTTGGAACAGGAAATCGCAATTGCTTTCAGAATTCATACATGAAGGAAAAAAGGTGGAAACCCTGCATGAAGTTACTAACAAAGCATCAGTTGTCCAGCCCCAGTGCTGTAACAGTGCCTTGAATTTATCCTCTGGCCATGTCCTCTGAGCTTGATAGAAACTGTCAGGCTGCTGCCCATGAAGTGACTCTGCCACTTTGCCCTGCTAGGGAGAGCAGAAGATTTTGTCTTCTGCCAGAAAAAACCACAATATTTCATGTAATGTTTCTGGCATTCTGTACACACGCATGACCCCCACAACAAATAGTCTGGCTAAGATCAAAAGAAGCACCCCGTGTGTTTTTAGCCCAGCAAATAGCTGTCAGCATCAGCAGGACTGAGTCTCTGCTGGCCATTCCTTGGCCAAACAGATGAATGGGAAATAACTGCAGGGAAATATGTCGGGATTGAAATTAATCAGCCAAGACTGCTTGGACATTACCTTAATAATGACAATGGTCATTTTACTAAAGCTAGGCATGAGAAAATAAGAAGTAATTACACATTTGAAATTATTTTATCATATGATAATTATTATCCTTATTTTACACTTGAAATGGTAGAAAAGAACACATTTCCCTTTTCCTCAGACATTTTAGTGGTTTAGTTTCATAATGGAGAGAAATCTTAGATGTTACACATTTTTCTATGATCAAAAATTAACCGTGCTTCTCAAATAGTTGCAAAGGTAAGTCAACACTTACCCATTTTTAATCCATTGCATCAAAAATTACCATTATTCAAATTTACGTGTTTTGATTTTCCAAAAAATTTCAATGATTAGAATGCATCTTAGAATGCATCTAATCACTTAGATTATTAGCATGGAGCACTTTATCAGACTCAGCACCAAGGATGATGCAATCATACTGCTCCTTACATTTCCTCTATGAACATAAAAGATGTGTCCTAATTTGCCTGTAAGGCTTCTGTAACTCCTAGAGACTCCACAAAAAAAAAAAAAAAAATTAGTAAATGGTGTTCTCAAATTATATGTCAGTTAAAAACAAAAACTCCATAAAGACAAAGAATTAAATTCCACATTGTGCTGTGGCAATTGAAAACCAGGAAATTCAACAGACTAATATTGACTTAGTCACAGCTATTAAATATTTGTCACTCATCTGTATTTTAGCTAGCACCCTTTAGAAACAAACTCTGTACTTTATTGGTGCAAAAGAAACAGGCAAGGCAATGCCAAATCTGATAGCACAAAGCCCAGTGACTTTTATACAAAATGGGATATTTTATTTATTTCTTATTGCTCTGTGTGAACCATAATTTCCCATGCCTCAAGTAACATTCAGCTTGAACCTCTAAACTTAAAATATAAATGTGCAAGATTGTCAGGAATAAAATTACTGCAACAAAGGCATGGATTGACCAAAAGAGAATTTCAGATATTATATTTTCAACATATTTTAACACAGAAGAAATATTACAACCTCTTCAGATTTTATAGCTCTTTTCAAAGGAAAAACTGATTCAAGTCTTAGACATGAAACTGAAATCCCATTATGAAATTGAAATGACATGAACTTTTCTGCAGGTCTAACAAAATCAGAACATAGTAATAACAGCTGGCCTCTGCAAAACATTCACATGATTATTTAAGCAACGCTGACTGCAAAACTGGAATCCAGCTATTTATTTTTAAACTTCTGAGGAAAACATCAAAATTACAACCACAAAACCGAAGTCATTAGGTGGTTAGGCACAGAAAAAAATCAGTGGCTTATGATTTTCAGAAAAAAATAATGGAAATGGTTACAGGAAGTGTTAATGCTTTCTAAAGAGCTAATCCTAAAATGTTTCCTCCTTTTTTTGTGGCGACTTAATGTTAATAGGTTTTAAAAGGGCATAAACACTGACGCATAAAATGAAATTGGATTAGTACAAGTTTGCCTAATTTGTCTTAAATTTTTTGAAAAGTCTGTTTTTAGGCACACTTGTGTTTTGTTTTCTTAGAAAAGACACCTGTTTCAGCTAATGTTTCCTTTAAATTCAGTTTCATGTTATTTTTACTAAGTTCAGGAGACAGAATTCTTCTGTTTATTTACAAAATAGCACAGAAGAGCAGAGACACTTCCTCGGCAAAGCTATCACCCGGCAGATCTCCCAACCTCAGCCTTGGTTTGGAAGGACCTCTAGGGGTGAGAAGGTACCTCAGTGCTGAAGGAGAAAACACTGGAGAAAGTTAAGGGCTTGATTCTTTGGCCAAAGAAATTTCTGTTGACCAGAAATCATGTTTAATGTAAAAGAAAAGCCCTCAACTTTTTATTTATTTCATTCAGAAATATAATTTATCATTGTTAAAGAATAAAGGACCATTATCATCCCAACTGACTCCTCATTTTGTTTATTCTGTGGGCAAATATAATCCCATAATACTGCACCTAGGAGCTTCCTCTTTACAGATATAATTACTTACAACTGTATTAAAATTTGTGATCCTAAATTTTCATGATTCATGTGTCAATATTTTAATATTTCATAATATTTGAATATTCATACTCAAAGAATATACCAGAAAATCTTAAACTATACTATGTAAAATAAGAATGGGACCTAGCAAATGAGTTCAGTGCCTTAGAAACTCTGAAATGAGCAAATGCAAATAGAAGTGGAGTAAGGAACCCTAGTTCTTTCCTTCTGCAAAACTAACTTCAACAAGGCAGTAGCCATTTTTAAAATCTTGTAGTTATACAGAAATAAATATAAATTAAGATAAAGAGATCAATTACATATTGTGGAAATTTTAACTTTCTCTTATAGGACACTTCTACACATTTTAAAATTATGTATGTAGAGAAGAATAAAATTTCGTAAAAGTCATGTAATAAAATTGATATTCCTCATGGTATTTAATAAGCTTTATACTAGTAATTAATGATACTTTCTGACATTTTTTCTTCAATTCGCTTCGAGCCTAAACACCATCCAGAAAAATTATGAGATCAGCAGTGCCTTAAGTATCTCTTAGTAATAGTAGCATCATTAATTTTAACTATGCCAGTCAGAATGTCTTCTTATTCAAAGTTCCCTAACCATCGTGGGAGAGATGATGACTTTAAAAATGCACAAACTTCCACATTTTCCTATGTAAATGAATATCAGCAGATGTATCTGTGAATGTGAACACTCATGGACTGGAATTTAGCAGTTTATTAACGTTCTGCAATTAAAGCAAATTCCCCTTGTGCTCTACAAGAGAGAATATCAGCTAATATTCAGTCCTAGTCCTCACGTGAAGTCAATGAAAGATTTTTGCACTTATTTTACGGAATACTCGTCTCTTAATCACACCTCATGGAAAAATATTAATGAAAAAAGCAGCATAACATAAATAAATTTAACATGACTTACAAGCACATGGTAGAAACACACTGGTAGATGTCTGCCTTGTGTCAGATTTTGGTGAGAGGCAAGGGCTCAATTTAGACTCAATGCAAACAATGCATTATTCCAGAGCAATGATCTGCTCCACAGACAGCAGCAATGCATTGTCAGAACTCAAGAAATTCTTCTAGCTGTCCTGAAAGACTCGAGACCCTGGCAAAGGGCTCAGAGACCCTGGCAAGGAGTCAAAAACACTTGCGCTTTCAATTTTAACCTATGGGAACAATTAATAACTTCGTGCAAAGAGTTACAAGCCACAAAGGTTTGAGTAAAATGTTAGTGAATTTATCACCAGGTAGAATTTTGTAGTTTTTAGAATGGGGATTTAGGAGGCAAAATAGAAGAATCTAGGCGTGTCCAGGCTTTTTCTTTTTTTCAGTTTCCATCTTCTGCTGTGATAGTAGCACTTTTAGATTAGTCTAAAGTAAAGACAAACTGTCTAACATAGATGATAGCTATTAGAAAATTATTGTAAATAATGTACACGAAGTTTTTAGTATAAAAAGATAACACCACCCTAGAAGCAGTCAGTGTGCCGTAAACTGACTTCTTAGACAAATCTCAAGTCAGAGAAAGAATGTTATAGATAACAGAAAATAAACAACTTTGAGAACGAGAGTTAAGAAATCCTTTCTTCTTCGGTCTTGAAGCTAAGAAAAAAAGACTGTCTAACACCTCGAGGTCATCTCAATACCAAAGACTCCATCAATGCATCTGTTTTCTAAAGGCAGCTACAGCCAAGGCCCTGCTTGTGTCACTGCCTGCCCTGCCTCAGCTCCCCTGGTCTGGGGAGGTGTTTCTGCTGCTCATCCAGGGCAATGAGAGCACTCCAGGAACTGGGCAAATGGGGGATGCCTCCTCCATGAATGACTGTGAGGCCCACAGAACCAGCCAGGGAAAAGCTTCCAGGGCTCCTCTGGAGAGCCAACCCTGAGCCACAACCTTTGTGCTTAGGTTGAGCAGAAAGCTCGCTCACCCCCAGAGGCCTTGGCGCTCATATGTTGATTTCTCCCACCCCATTGGCCCTGCACCCATACCCTCTTGGCTCCCCAGTTTTGTCCTGCTCCTCATGTTTCCCATATAAACCCTGTTTTCCCTGGCTCCTTTGTGGTTTTGGTCCTGGCACCTTTCACTGAGGGCCCTGCTCTCAGTACAGGCCATTACCCTGTGCAAGGCCAGACACGGCTCCTGTCTCTTTCTCTACATCTCCCAGAAGAAGCCTCAGCAAAGCATCTCTCCCAGGGCTGAGAGAAGGACGTGCCTGTGCCCCTGAGCCCTTCTTAGGACTCTTCCTCAGGAAAGTCACAGCACCTTTACCATCAGTCCACCACAGCAGATGATGATTCTACTAAAGGCACAAGCTGCAACAGTATCACCTCACTTAAAAGCCCTGAGGATCCTTCTCTCCATGAATTTCTCTTCCTATGACACTACATATTCAAATCACACAGCCTGAAACTGGGGCTTTTGTGTGATCTAATAAAGCCTGGGCCTAAGATCAGACAAAGCTGTATTAACTGGTTCAGTCATTATTTTAAATAAAGTGGACACATTTCAGTGATGTACCTTCACCAGACATCTTGCTGTATATTAATAATGGTGACACAGAGTTTAATACTTTCTGACAATAGCAAGGACATGTCTCCAGCTTGTTCAGTCTAGGTAGCAGATGTCAAAGTATGTCAAGGAAAGACTGCAGTGAGGCTTGAGTTGGGTTAACACACCTTGATGTGTGTTTCTAGCATGGTCAGATCAAGCTTGCTTTTTTTGCTGTTTGCATTTTGTACTGCCATGAGCTCCACAGAAATATTAAATAGAAAAAAAAGATTCTTATCTGAATACCTAAGATGAACCTGAAATTTGATCTCCAAGGTTAGCAGTAACTAGTTTACTTACAGAAAAAGGTCTGGAAGCATATAATAAAGGTTTAGATCTACAGTTTGATGCCATAACAAGATGCAAATATTTTGTTCAGACATTATCATTGTTGTACTTTAACCCCAGTGGCAACAAAACATCACACGACCACTCCCTCCCTCCTCCTGCCATGGGGTGGGGAGGACAACTGGGAAGAAGGAAAAACCTTGGTTGGGATAAGAAGAGTGATGCCCAACTCCATTGCTCAGCGGCCCCTGACTGATGCCCAGCCCAACCCTGAGCAGCAGCTGAGAGCTCCCAGCTAACTCCTCCTGGTTTGTATACTGGACATGACATTCTGTGGTGGGGAATGTCCCTCTGTCCAGCTGGGGTCAGCTGTCCCAGCCGTGCTCCCTCCCAGCTCCCTGTGCACCTGCTTGCTGGCAGAGCATGGGAAGCTGAGAAGTCCTTGACTTAGGCTAAGCACTACTCAGCAGCAGCAAAACATCAGTATAATCAAATTATACCAAATAATCAACATTATTCTCACACTAAAATCAAAACAGCCCTGTACCAGCTACTAGGAAGAAAATTAACTCTATCCCAGCTGAAATCAGGACAGTCCTATTGATCAAACTGATCCCCCAAAGTAATGGCAAGAGCAGTAAAGAGCACTAAGATCTAACACAGAATAAACCAAGGGTTTTGTATCAGGCACTTACAGTTAATTTAAAAATGTTAAGCAAATAATTTCTTTTTATAGGACCTGCTAATATATCATTAACATGAAATAAAAATGGAACATTTTAATTTGAACATAAAATCAATATAAATTGTGGAAGCAGGCAAGATCTTTCAGTGAGGAAATAAGAGGTGACATGTTTATGCTATTTTACAATAAGCTTCCTCATTTCAGTGCATTTTTAAGCATAGCAATTTGGTACCTGTTAACAAATTATTCAGTATTTCCTCACAGATCTATATCATTTAAATCTTCTCTAGAATATTCAAAGCTGCCCAAAATAAATGCATAACTGCAGAGAGAGATATGCCTCTGTGTGTGCATATATATACAATATGTAGAATATGTACAGAAATAAACCCCCTTTAGGTTAAGGATAAAAGTCAGTGTCTTAAAAGACAGAAAAAAACCCCAAAGGAATAAATACTTAGTTGGAGCTATAATAGAAATTCATTCAGCAGTGAAGATGCGGGCACCAAACTTACACCAAGGACAGTTTCTACTCCTCTAACACTGTCTTCAAAACAAAAAGAACACTTAGGACTAACTCTGGGAAAAATATTTTGCCACCTTCCCTAAAATATTAGTTAATGTAACCTTGAGGACACTCTTATATACTTCATACCCCATACTGCAGAGCATGTTGCTTCGTGACATTTTTATGCCCAGAACACTCAGTATCCAAATATTAGGACTTTATTTTTAGCTCTCATAGTTGAAATATTAGATTCAAAAGAAACCAAACAAACTATACTAATTTATGATGAGTGAAGGTTTTGGTTTGAGGGCCTACCATTGAGCAACAAGATGTCAATTCAAGAAAACATCTTCTGTGAAAACAAGTAGGTGGTGCAGAATCTCAAATGCCTCCTGAAATCTCACTACTGCATGATACTTGCATTTTCCTATTTTCTCTATTATTTATATTGTATATATGATATTATATTGATTGTATGTTTGCCAATAATTTTCCAACACCTGCTTTCCACATTCCTCTCCTGATTTTCATCCTCCTCACACTTTTATTTGCTTTTTGTCAAGGCTTTTGCAAATGTTGCTGCTATATCCTATTTCAAGTTGTCTAGGTTAATTCCTGCAAGTACATTCAATTTTCATTTCATTCACCTCCTTTGACTTACTAATGAATATGTCAAACAAGAACTGCTTTTCTATTATACTAGTTAATCTTCTAACTGTTTTTCACTACTTGAAATATTATATTTTGGTAATTTCAATTTTTATGTTTTCACCCATTTTCACACAACATGGCAATTCCTGGATTGAGTGACAATGTTTAAAGTGGCTGTTTTAGCAGTAATACATTTGTGTTCCCAAGCTGTCAGATGACACAGATGTTTTAAAATTTGTCTTCAAAAAAGTTGGGAAAACAATATATTCTCTCAATTTTTCCCTATTTTCAACCTACAGTGTATGTTTGGGCTTTCAGATACAGAAAAAAAAGCCAAAACTTTCCTGGCTTAGCTGCAATACCAGTGCATATCTGCTACAGCTATTCCACACATAGTCAAATCCAGGGAAAAGACCCAACTGGCTCTCATGAGAGGGCTTAATCCATTTTGAGTAACAAGAATTTTATGGCACTATGAGCTCACCCTTGTAAACAAACTCCTGATCTGTTAGCCTCAGCAGGAAAACAGACAGAAAATGCATAAAACATGATGGTAAAACCCCTTCCCTCAACAAATAGAGTATCTGTAAAGTGAACATACTCAGTTTTCCATGCATAGTGCATTTAGGCATCTTGATAGCTTTCTGAATAACCTACAACTGCTTGCACAATTTCAAGTCCAATATAAATCTGCCGATAACTCCAATGACCTAAATCAATTCTATTTTATTTATAACTTTAACACATAGAATCAACCAAGTGGTGCATGTAATAGTAACAGACTATGGCAGATTATTAGCATTAGGTTTTGAGATAACTTTTCAAAGACATTCTTTTGCAATAACAAACTTCTAGAAACAACACAATGCAGAACATATGGTGCACCAGCTGAGTAGCACTGCAGTGTTAGATATACAGATGCTTCACTGCAATTACCAACTGTTTATAGCCTTGAGTTTCAGTTACTGAGTTCTACATTCCTGATTTTATCTCATTAGACAACTGCAATCCAAGTGCATTGCAACCAATGCTATCAAAAATTACTACAGATCTTCATTAAATCTCATTTTAATTCAGTCTGAGTAAAATGGGATTTATTTGGAAGCAGAATATATCTGATAGCTGTACTGAACACCATCATCCAAATGAATAGAAGAAGTATTTTTCCTACCTTATAATCGTCTTCATAGTCATTATATCCACACGTACTTAAGATGTCAGGAAATATATCCGACCATCCATTACTCGTACAATTTTTGCTAATGTTTCCTGTAAAGCCAAATTAGAGAATTTAAATTAGAAAGATTCCAAACTCTCGTCATCAATGACTCCTTAGACAATCTAACTGTGTCATTAGCTGATCACAACCTAGGTCTTTTTCCTTTGTTTCCTAGGATTCAACCCAGCCATTTCCTCTCACGTGCTTTTCAATCATATTCCTTTGGCTTTTAGTCTTGCTTGGAGTTGCCTTTGTACTACAGAAAGCCAGAAGTAAACCCAAGACTTTTCCTTTGGTATAGCAGCTATTTCTGTTACACATCTGCAAAAGCCTGAACTGTTCTGCTGTTTTATTTAAAATACTCAGAAGGGAGCCATACACTTCACTCTGTAAAGGGGCTATTTGTAGGTAAAGTAATTTGAAAGAAAAGTAATTTCAAAGAGAGTTGTTCTAAGCTCCTATTTAAGGCTTTTGAGAAGCCAATACCAAGGAATCTACTGAAGACTTACAAAAGCTCTTAGACGTTAAGGTGATGACTCGCTGCTACAGCAAATGTTTGGAAATTTGGTAAAGAAGTTCAAAGGACAAGTTATGTCATAGACTGAAGAATGAGGTAAAGATGCATGCTGAATTTCACCCTTTGAACCAATACTGAAACAATGTAGTACAGGGAATGTACAGGACATGTGGAAGTATGGCTGGAAAGGAATTTTGAAGATTTATTAATTTCAGAAAGTTTCTGTTTGGAACTGACAGAAAAAGTTGACTCTTTCTGGAGACGATGTCACACAGATGACATGGGGGCAACTCATGATTCTACTTCTTAATCTAATTTAAATGAATTCATTTTTATGCAATATGGAACAACTTCAAGAAGGCAAAACAGAAAAGCCTCATGTCAAATTAAAGAATAGTCATTACATTTATTATAACTTACTATGTTAATTCATAGCCAACTTCCCCTCACATTTCTTAGAGCAATTTCTATATCTATGATACTTGAAATCTATAATAATATACTGCCTTGGTTTGGAGTTTACCACTGGTCTATAATTGAATTAAAGATTCCTGGTTTTCACCATAGAAAAAGAAATTTACGCGCCATAGGTCAGTGTCGGTCAAGAATAACCAAACTTGTTTACATACACTCCAAACTAAAGCTTTTGTGATCTTTATTTTGTTGATTGGTTACTGGAATTTCTTCTTTGTATAAAGTCTTCAGTGGAAAGTTGTAAATATCCCATAAGTGGTTCACCAGCCAACAACCAAATCTTTCCAGCTAATAAAAGGCCCTGACCTGAACCCACAGTCTCCTCAAAGAATGGGACCACTTTTGCCATTTGGCATAGAAATGACATTTTTAAAAGAAAATGTCACCTATTTATACACTGTGAAGAGTCTTCACTTTAAAAGTACATCAAGATTCTCTGACCAGGCAGAGCAGAGGAATGTGTTAACAGAACCACAATTGCGTCAAAGCCAGTTTTGCAAGAAAAAACTCAACGTACTCCAGACACTGAAGTATTTTCTACTTCAAATACTGCAATAACTTCTAACCTAAAGAGAGTTGGGCAATATTCTATGGAAGGCAATGTTTATTTCTATGCCATCTTTTCATGCAATTAAGTATTTCAAACCTTATTTAAAACCTTTAACTTGACCCATAGATTTGAATAATAACTTTCTGAGACTAGTACACTTGTAAAGTACAGGAAAAACATTACAGGATGATATGATTGCTTTTGCAGTAAAAATTCTTTTAATCACAAGTTACTAATATTCAATACAGAATTAATCATGTGGTATGCTTAAACTATAACAGAGCACCACAGAAGAAATTTAGAGCCAGCTCTCCAAAAGTTCTAAAGATGAGAAGAAAACTACTTTTTTAAATTCACAATTTAAATTTGGAAGTCCTTTAAGAAACTGGTGGCATTTAAAAGCCTACTTGAAGTTTGGAATATTTGCATAAAAATAAGGTAGTCTAGATCATCTTGTAGTAGCAAATCTGGCTAAATAAAAAGAATGAAATTTCTTGTTTGAAGGTATTTTCATGATTTTCCACTGTAAGAATGAAGTTAATTTGTAATGTGCTGTGTATGAATTAAATAAACTACATATGCCTGAGCATAAACAACTTATGAAAGTACCAGGATGCTTAGTTAGCTCTTAATTGAATCAATCATGCAAAATGTTTTTTGTCTTCCTTCTCTGAAATTTTAGAAAGACTAGGTTTAGAAAATACTCTTAATTGAACAGGAACCCCTAAAAATCAACAAATCAACCTTGTTAGGTTCCACAAGCAGTAAGTAAACAGGCTGCTATGAAAAAAGCTGGATCAGGAAAAAGGATTGCAAACTGTAAAATGAACAAATATCTCAGTCTTGCTGACAACATGGTGAAGTGAGATAGGGTTGTAATGCACTGTGAAGGTTTCAGACTTAAATATTTATTGCATTTGTTTTATAGTAAAATTAAAATGTTGTTGTAATATAACTAAAGTTTGTGAAATAAACTCCAGGGAGAATGTGCACGCTCTAGCTTTTGGCAAATAGAAGCAGTGTGATTTAATTCAAATTTTGAATTTTTGATATTTATTAGTTTGCTTTGCCTCATGACAACACTTTATTATCTTTGTTTGAGTAATTTGCAAACTTTTATAGATTTCACAACATTTAGCAACGATTACACATACTTTCCCCTTTACAAATTGTTTAGACTATCCATGATAAACTAATCAAGTTTCACCAGTTCCAGGAATGAAAACCTTTGCTCATCTGTAGATTGTTTTACTTATCTATTTTTTACTAGAACAAGACTTATTCAACAGTTTTGAGTCTAAAGGTATTTTAGTTGTACCCCAAATTAGCCTCTAAGTTAAAATTCATATTAGGGGGACACCAATCCCCCCCTCCCTTCCCCCCAAAAAAATAATTACATAACTGTGATAACTTTTTCATCTTTCACCAGCTTTTCATGACAATGGTTTCTCACCTGAGCAATGGGGATGCCATTTTTCAATCCAGCAGCATTTTGAGATACATGTGAAACACTCTGTGTGCATCATCTATTTTCAAAACCCCCCTCAAATGCCACAGGACAAAATATGATTTATTGACAAGATGGTGCAGAAGATGGGAGACTTAAACCAGTTAAATGTTTCAGCAGCCTGAGACACTGATGAGCTCTTTACAAGTTCCATTAAAAAGCAGAATAAAAGGTTTCATAATAACTACCTTAAATTGCAACAGCAGTAATTTTTAGGTATTATCTGCTAATGTGGACTCTTTATTCTCATGATGGCAAGGCAGAGCTCCCCTCCTGAGACACAGAGGGAACAACCTACGTGTGGCCTGCTGGCAACCGTTAGAGATGTCAGTCAGGCTCAGCTGCCTTAGTAATTAACAAAATAAGTCAAAAAAGAGCAAGCAATGTCAGCGGCTTTGGTGAGTGTCACTGTATCAGAAATATACTTAGTATCTAACTCAAAGAACACCAAAAAGAACACAAAGATGATAATTTGGTCTTTTCACGGTGTATCCTGAACAGCTCTGACAAGAATTTTTAATCTACAAAGAAAATTAAACCCCCAAATAAACCATTTTTAGCACATTATGTTGAAGAATACCAGAGAGAAGCCAGTGAAAATACGCCTTAAAATAAAATACCTGGTTTTCCAGAAAAAAGGCTGAATACTTTTGGGCAAGGGACAGTGACAGTCTCTCCAATCTTTGCAGGACGCCAACAGGTGATGTTATCCCAAACTCCAACACATCCTGAAACAAAACCAGAATTAACAGCCTTGAAAGCTGGGTTTGCTTATAAAGACCTGGTGAAAGCTTTGAACAAGTGGTTCAAAAAATATTAGACTCCTTCAAGAAAACTGAAAAGATTATATTTCCCATGAAAACTTTAAAGTAATCATCAGAGTCTGCTGATTAACCAGACAATTTTGAGGTTAATACATTGGTTGCAGAATTTTTCACATGTCATTGTGATGTGAGGATGCTAAGAAAAGAGTAAGAAAGATTAAAAAGTAATTCCTGAGCACTGATGTGGATTATTAAGAATTGCAAAATTTTGAGAATTTCCTAATCACAGTTAAAATGGAGTTTTCTATCAAGCAGATGGAACATCACAAATAAATATGCAAGAAGGTCATTGGACTCAGCACCACATATGACAGGCAGGCATTATGATTGGAGACTGGAACAATAGGCATGGACTTACAGAATAATCTCTCAAACTGAAAAACAGACATTTGAACAAAGAATATTTCTATATATTGGTTTCAGGAAGGGCAGGGGGCCTTCAAATTTCATAGATAAATTTTATAGTGGCAGTAAATGCTTGTTACAATTAGAAAGTAACTTGCTACAGCTTTGCCTGTGTTCATATGTGGCTCAAAGGCTGTATGTTGTGAATGAGTATAAATCTCCCTATAGCTTCTATAGGCATTTGGCTCAATCATGCCCTGTTTAAAGGTGTCTGTTTATAATGCATATTTTCTAAACTAAGCAAAGAGCTATGAAAGTTTGTCAACACAAGCCTTGCAAGGACAAAGAAGTAAGGAAATGTTACTCATATTATCTCAGTTCAAGTTATTAATAAAAAAAAATTCGTGCCAAATTCTGGGCATTTATGTCTTCAGATAAGGCAATTAAAAATTTTAGTTTGTAATTAATGTTAAAGACAGAAATCAAAATATTATCCCACTGGTATTATCTCCATAAGATTATTAGCAGTGTAAGGGACAGTTTGTTCCTTTCAGTAGAGAACATGAAACTTGGATTGGGAACTGCTCTCAGCCATATTATTTTTCAGAATATTTATAGAATTAGCTATTCATTATTAATTTATTCTATGCTAGTGAGGTCATACCCAAAATCAAGCCACATGAGTTAAATGAAACTTGAAAAGGAATATTTAGAAGTTCTATATTTGTATAAAAACTTTTAGTGCAATTAAACTTGGACAGCTTGTGTTGACTTAAAATATGCAGCATCCTGCTTTCAAAGTTTAAGTTACTTTCAAAGCACACGTAAACTAGGGAACCAAAGAATGTGTAACAGGACCAGCAGCTGGATTTGTCCCAGGGCTGTGTCCTAGCTGCAGCACAAAGGAAAGGCAGTGGCACAGTGTTCCCATGGGCCTTGCTTTCCTTTGGAAACATCCATCCAAGTGTGATAGCTGTGAGGGAGCCGCTGAGTGGCACAAGAACAAGGTCTGGAGATGATAAATGAAGAGGAGAGGAGGGTTATGGGAGAAATTCTGCATTTGATCACCAATTCCACAGAGTCCTCTTTATGAACTTTCCCAAGGAAATGCAATTCTCCAGAGGATTCACTTGCTTATAGGGATTGGGTCTTTTTTCACTCCTCTTAAGATTGTACAGTTCTAAATGCAGCATCTGTTCTATATTCAGAAAGATTATGCCAAAAATAAGGGATTACTAAAGGGAGAACTTCACAAAGTTTATCTCTGTGTGTAGATAACGTAATGCCTTATCCTCCACTGCCCTGTGTGCTGCATCAGCCTCTCTTGGCATTACCAACAATATCCCTGAGAGATCTCTGATAGTGGCTTGGCCATCTGTACACAATTTCAGAGGTTTACACTGAGCAGGTCACCTTCAGAGCCTTTGAAATGGAATTTCAACATGCTTAAGTCCTTCCTGAGTTGCAGTTCTGGGTGCAAATCAAGCCCAAATCTCTATGATGCAGCTCCAGACCTTACTCAAACTAAAAGAATGTTTACCTGAACCAATTCAGGTCATGCTTCCTCCCCAATTGATTTTAAGCCAAAAACAACATCAATAACACGACATACAAGTAATCAGAAAGACAAAGGAACTATTTTCTTCATCTGCCAGCACTCAGAAGTACAGTGACAAAATGAAACTCTTTTGGCTTTGATTGATGGACTCTCTGAGCCAGCATAAACAAGCCCTGGAGTACACAAGAATAATTATCATCTTGTAAAACCTCAGATGTTTTTATTTCAACCCCATTTCCACTAACAGTGAGAGCTGAGATGCGTCATTAAGCTGTTCATGCACACCCATGGAAGCTGATGACTTTCTCAAATTTTCCCTTTTGTTTAATCCACTCTGTAAAATGGTGGCCTTATTACAGTAATCTGCAAACAGCTCAGAGGACTTGTAAATTTTTTCTATGCTACTGTACATTGACTGGGCTAAGGTTTTGCCAAACAGGCAGCTGAACAGCATGGATTTCAGAGCTCCATTGCTGTGTTTGCCACAGAAAACACTTTAAAATCTTATTCAAGCCTCAGTTGGATGAAACATATAGAAAAATTGAAGTTCAAGTCCTATTCCTACCAAAATTCATCAACACAATTTGTATCAAATCTCAAAGCTTTCTGCAAGGTTTTGATGTTCCAAACATCACAAGTCAGCAATGGTTTCTGGAATATGGTTTTTTCCTTTATTTTTTCCTCAGTATTTTAGGACTTTACAGGCATCTGTGGCCCAGGTAAGAATGGTAGTGTTTCAGATTCCTCAAATCAAATGGATGAAGTAACACCAAAGATGTATTTCCTGCATGTAGACTACATTCAAATGCCTCAGAAATCATGTGAGTGAAACTGAAATGGCTGTCACCAGAACTCCAAGAATATTAAGCCTCATTTTATTATTAACAACAGGCTTATTTATAATGGTACAGGACATCTGAGAAAACTGCTGAGGTGTCCTGGAGGCATTTATAGTCACTGAATGACTATAGTGGGCATCTGAATCTAGTCTGATTGCTGAAATGGTATTAATTACTGGTGTAATTACTGCTAGAATTACAACTGGTAAACAACAATGCATCTTCTGTGCTTTCAAATCACACCTTTCCTCATTGTCCCCTTCTTCCAATTACTACAGATTTTTAACAATAGTGCATTCATATATCTTCTTTTTCTCTTAGGAAAACATACCCTTATGCAGAGGGGGGATACAATTAACTTGACTTCATCTTAAAACAACTGAAATTAGGCCAGGTTAATTACTCCCAATGATTGCCTGTTTCTTTCCAGTGACCACAAAGCAGTCTGTAGTGCTTTAAATACCACACAGTTGGGAAGTGAAGGTGTGGTAAATGCTACGTTAAGTGTTTCTGTTTCCCTACATAGAATGTCTAACTTGATCAAACTTTGTATTCTCCTCTCAACTCACTTTCTACAACTCTCTGTCCAGCCATTAATGCATTCAGAGTTAGGATTTCTGGACTGTCATCCATCAGTGAATCACTCATAAAATCATTATCTAAATTCTCATTTTCTGGAAATTTTATCAATCTCTCTCATATGTAGGCCTGCTTACTACAGTCTCTGAAAGATATTGATCAAGTCAGATAAAAAAATTTATATTTTTAGGTATAAATAAGGTCTTACATTTTAGTTCTGGTAACAATTTTACCAGTAAAATTATACTTTCTATAGCTAGGTATCTATTTCTTTCTGTAATTAACTTTTAAGGCAAAACTTTAATTGCTTCAATGTTTATTTCATGTAATGTCTATAATTTATATTTATACTATTTTAAAGTATTCCGAGTACCAGATGTACTTTAATGTACATCTTTTTTTCTCTTTTATGCTCATTATTGGATTTAGTCTCTATGTTTCCACTGTGCTTCAATAAATTCTCAAGCATGAGTGTTTTTGTCCCTTTACTTTGATGTGCATGCATAAAAAGTCAGTCCAGCTTAGATCTGTGTTAGCTCCTCTTTTTCTGAATGTCTACTATTATATTCTTTAGCTTTTTCTTTAACGATTGGGCTGGTTCTGGCTGGGATAGAGTTAATGTTCTTCACAGTTGCTAATACAGAGCTGGTTTGGAACAGTGCTGAACAGTGGGTTTTTGCTTCCCCAATCAAACTGTTCTTATCTCAACATAAAAGTTTCCAGCTTTTACCTTCCCAATTCTCTCCCCAATCCTGCTGGTAGGGGAGTGAGCCAGGATCTGTGCAGGGCTGGGCTGATCTCTGGGTTTAAGCCATTAACAACTCTTAGCAAAACTAGCAAAGGCAAAAAGTAAAAAGGTTCCTGATTCTGTGGTGTCTAGAAGAACACTCCTGCAGCCTGCATAGAACAATCCCTTTTCAATGTCTTCATTTGCACCATTCATTTCTCTGATGTGTCATTCACAGAATATCCAAGGAAACAGCCAAACTTCCCTGAAATCCTTTGCTCAGTGACTTGCCCAAAAGTCTCATCCCGTTCCTCCAGAGGACACTGCAGATGCTGTTGTTAGCTAGTTTCAATGAGATCACTTACTTTATTTGAATGTTTGGTCTTTAATGCTTGTCATGCATTTGCAGATAGTTCATAATTAAAGGAAACGTAACAGAGTATAAACTACATTTTGTCTCCCATTTTCTTCAGCTTACATAAGTGCTGCCACCCCCATGCATCATGCTGCTTTTTGAGATCTAGTCTTTGAGCAACAAGTTCACTTACCTACATGTGCTTCTTTGTCTATAAAACCATAAAACACTGGGGCTTGTGCTGGAAAATTTTGTTTATAGACACATTTTATAAATATATAACCACTAGGTGGCACTTTGTATTTGGATTTAAAAAGTGTCACTTCCAAGAGAGGTTTAGCATTTTTCAAAACTGTCTAGGCGTGCATAAAACATGAAAAAACAACAGAGTGCTTTGAAAATGAGTCAGAAAGTCGACAGCTAGCCTAGGGTTTATTTTTCAATGTTTTGATTTTTGTAGTTAACTTGGCAGAGCAGAAGCCATCTCACCTCTTATGGGCA